TCAGATGCTGGTTTGAATTATCGGGAGTTGTCGTAAGCACACAACACGCACCACATACACACGCACACACATACACATACACACACACACACACACACACACACACACACACACACACACACACACACACACACACACACATCACACACACACTACACACTCACGCGCACACACACACACTCACACACACACTGCAGAGCGCGCACCCTTTTTCTTTTCTTTTTTTGCTTATGAACAACTGATTAGAAAAAAAATGTGACTAAAGGTAAAAAGCAAGACATAATTGTGTCATGCGCAGGCAGCGGGAAGTGCAGCAGCAGCAGCAACAAAGAATTCAAATCCTGGGAGGTAGGGGAGGGGAGGGGGGCGCTAACCGTGTCGATAAAAACTAAATAGCGTATTTTTCTGCTCCCGGCTTGGAAAAAAGACTGATTCCAATTGGTTTACTCACCGAAGTAAATCCTCGTCACTCACACATTTCCAATAATCCACAATACTTAACAATCGCAGCCATTCACACTAAATTACCTACTTCGCACCCCATGGTCATGATCCTCACTGCACACGCCTCAGCCAACCGAACAGCCTTCAACACCCTCTGCCAATGCTTTCTCCTCAATGCACATGCGCCTTTGCCATCTATACCCCCCCCCCCTATTCATTTCCCATCACAGTACCATCGCCGCACAGGATAAGGTCGTTAAGGTCGTCTTGCACGCTTATCGACCCGGCCTTTGTGTTGGTTTCCCAAAGACGACCTTCAGTGACCTTCCTCTCTCCCGTCGGCTCGTAAATCACAAAACATACCCTGTCCTTAGCCCTTACGCTTTCTCCCCTTCCCCGTCCACGGTCCCTGTATCCCGCCCATCGCTCCTTTCTTCTCCCCGGCTCAGTTGCACTTCCCTCCGCGAGCTTCTCTCTCCCATACGCTTGGCTTTTTGTAAAACTCATATTTCGGTGCAGTTTTTCCTCCATAACTACCGGTTCTATCTACCCACCCTGTCTTTTGCCAAATTTAATCTCATAGAATTGTATTTCTAGTCCTTTACCTCTCTACGTCAACATTTAGTGTATTCCTTTCTCCGTCATCACGAAATCTTCAAGTGCATACAAGTTGTCAATAACCATAAAAAACAATATATATATATATATATATATATATATATATATATATATATATATATAATATATATAATAATAATATAATAATAAATAATAATAAAGAAATAAACCACTTTACTACTACGAAGCTATGTTTATTTTTGGATTTCGTTGTTAATGTTGTAGCGTTAAGTCTAATACTCGAGCTAAACCTTTGGTAAACACGGCTGGGCGCCATCGATGCAGGGACAGAATCAGGGGGATGGGGGGGGGGAAGGGCATGGGCGGCCCTTACTAGGTACACGGGATCTCGGCGACCGGTCTGACTACCCTGTCTGCCGTCACTACTACTACACACCCACACTCTCTCCCCCCCACACTAGTCCTCTCACCCGCCTACGCCCCCTACCTCCAAAGCCCACTCACGCTGCCGAATGCGTCAAACCCGCCCACCACAAAGTCCATTCCTCCCGAATTGTCCCGTGGCGACCGGCCAGAGCGAAAGTGAATGCCCTTTAAAGGAAGGCGAAAGAGGTCAAGAATCGGGAATGAAATTCGAGAGAGAAAGAGAGAGAAAGAGAGAAGAGAGAGAGAGAGAGAGAGAGAGAGAGAGAGAGAGAGAGAGAGAGAGAGCGGAGGAGAGAGAGGAGAGAGAGAGAGAGAGAGAGAGGAGAGAGAGAGAAGAGAGAGAGAGAGAGAGAGAGAGAGAGAGAGAGAGAGAGGAGAAGACAAAAAACGAAATCAGAGAATTACCAAGTCGCCTCCGAGGTACAGGGATGATTCTCAAGATGAGGTCTCCGCTAATTACAAAACGAACTAATGAAAATAATCAAGGATAATAGCTACAGGAAAGCGAGGAGCAATTACGCTGCATGTAACCTGCCCTAAGGTCAAGCTTCTCAAAGAGGGGAGGGGAGGGAGGGGAAGGGGCTATAAGGGAGGAAGTGAATAAAGAAAAACTGAAACGAAGTGAAAAAGAAGGGAAGTAAAGTAAATTAAAGGGAAGGGAAGCGAAAAGGGAAGGGAAGGGAAGGGAAGGGAAGGGAAGGGAAGGGAAGGGAAGGAAGGGAAGGGAAGGGAAGGGAAGGAAGAAGAAAGAAAAGAGGAGAGACGGGGGAGGGAGTGTAGAGGAGGCTGTAATCTTAGAAGAATAAGGGCAAGGGAGAGGGCAGTTGGAGTTCAATGAGAGTACTTGTAGTTTAGGAAAAAATAGAACAAAAAATATAAATAAAAACGAAAGGCATTAGACACGAAGTTACGTGTACGGGAGAGCAGTTTCCAAAGGGTAAAATATGAGTACGTTCCGACTGTCCATTTTATATTAACATCTTTCACGCATATTGTGGAACATATTGAGGTAGTTCCTTTCCCATGGACGTTCACATGGGTCAGAGGATCTTGGTTGTAGCCTCCTCCACCGAGGTGTTCGTGGGCGTCGTGGAGGGTAGTTGGTCATGCAGCGTGGCCCTCCGTGGCGTCTCTGGTGGCCTCATGCGCCCGCACCACGTAGGCTAAGGTGTCAACTACCCCGAGTCGCAGGCGATCTTGCAAGCTGTCTCCTAAAATGCAGCTTACTTCCCCAAACACTACTGCCTGGACCTGCGAGCACCGTTAAGGGTCTGCGGGTCACAGCGCCGAAGAGAAGCACAGGAGTGAAGGCTGTCAGAGCGCGTTGTTGACTTAACATGGTGCACAGACGCACGCGGGGAGCCCGGGCTGATTAATATGCAGGCGGCGCGAGCAGGACATGACCGCTATGTCAGTTCGCATACCACAAGCACTCCAATGCCCCCGTGGACAATTCTGGCTCCGTGGACTCGATGTTACATGTCCAGCATGTACGCCAGCACACCAGCTCCGCTACGTGAGGAATGTGCAAGAGAGGGAGTCCTGGCCAATCCTCTCCGGGACTCCCTATCCGCCCCGTGATCAGAAATTCATTTTCAAATCGCACACAGCGACGCAGCAACGTTTATGCTATCCCATCAAGATCACTTCGCTATTCAAGTCCCTCGGATCAAACAGGATTAACAACTGAACTCGGGCGCCTTATCCGAAGCACTGCATCGTCAAAACACGATGTCAACAACGCATAAGAAATCTGCTTCACCGGGACAGCTGCCCTTTGGATCGGTTCTTGGCGTCTCCACGTGACCTTAAAGGCGAAGGACGACCACGCCATAATGACCTCTAAAGCGTTCATTACCATCACTGCATTTTTTCCGCCAATATTCCCATTGCCGATTCGCTTAATCATCCTTCCTCGGCGCATTACTGTTGAAATATATACATTCACACTATGACAATGATGACTTGCCAATTCGGTCTGTCTGGCAACAGCTATCAGCCGGATTTACTGACTGACTGAGTGTTTATAGCAACATTAATCACTGGACAATGGTGTATATCATTTATCTTTTTCAGTTACCCATAACTTTCTTCTCTCCCTGTATCGCAGGCACGTACTCAGAGGAGTAAGTGATTCAGTGTCAGTGAGTGATGAGTGAGTGAGTGAATAAGTAAAATGACTGAATGAGTGCGTGTGTGTGAGTGAGAGTGAGAGCGTGAATGAGAATGAGAATGAGTATGTGAATGACAGCGAGAGTATGAGTGAGTGAGTGCATGCCTTTCATCAGAAAACTTTTAGTCTGCCTATTAACTTCTCTCTCGCTTTTGTTTCAAAACCCAGTCTTTTTTCTTCCTTCCATCTTTTCCTTTCTCTCTCTCCCTCTCTTTTTCCTCTCTCTAATATGTAGCACATACACCCACACACACTATCTCTATCTCTATCTTTATCTCTCTCTCTCTTTCTCATTCTTTCTCTTTCTCATTCTTTCTCTTACTCATTCTTTCTCTTTCTAATTCTCATTCTCTCTTCCCTTCATCTTTCCCTCTCTCCTTTACTTCTTTTTCTCTTTCTCTCTTCCCTTCTTTCTTTCTCTTTCCTCCTCTCTTCCTTTCATCTTTCTTCTTTATCCTTTCTCCCACTCTCCCATCCAATGCCTTCTCCCTCTACTTCTCATTTTCCTTCACTCCTTCCCTTCTTTCTTTTCTTTTTTCCCTCTATCTCCTCTTCTTTACCTTCACTTCTTTCTTTTCTCGTTTCCTCTCGTTTCTCTCGATTCTCTCGTCTCTTTATCTCTCTCCCCATTCTCATTCTCATTCCCTTTCTCTCTCTCTCTCCCTTTCAATTTCTGCCTCATGCCATCCTACTGATCTCAACCAAACATATTCGAGAATCGAATCAGACACTTCTCACTTTATTATGCCTTTGCTCTATCTATGTTTTTTATTCATTCATAGATAAATTGGAAATCGCATTGTGTTGAAAAGCTTTAGCAATAACAACCACGACAACAACAAAAGTATAAAACAAAGTCCGATACGATATACCTCCACATTTACATTTTGTTTATACATATTAAATTTGTCCAAATGCTTTTATTACTATTAATAATTTTACCTAAGCAAACTCTTGTTTTCCACACAACATAATGTATATTCACTATTTGATAACTGCACGTTAATATATGAATCAGTTTGATTAGCGATCGCCTGATGCTGTGAGAAGTTAATAGTTATCACCGACATTTTTCTATGCAGGTGGATGCGATGTTTGCTTTGCTTATTTTATAGGATACATAGATTACACTTGTATATAAACATCAATATATGTTTTTACACCTTAGTTTACTGTTTCCGCACCATAAAAAATCCACATTCTGTTTCTTGGGCCTTCCCCTTCAAGTGTATTTCTGCAACGTTTTTTTCTCCATCGTGTCAGTCTAATTTTCCTTTCACTCTTTCTATAGCCATACCATTCTCCTTATTATGTCATGCACCCATTGTTTTTCCAGTCGTAAACATCCATAATTTCCCATTCTCTCAAGAACTGCATGTGTCATGCTATTTTCTCCTTAACGGACCGCCGGATGATAAATTTGACATTTCAATCCATGTCTAACATAAACTACTGAGAAGTTCGATTTCTTATTACTAGATTGGGTGAAAAAAAACGTGTGATTAATCAGAACACTCACCTCCTGATGAACTTGTTGGGACTGCTTCTGTGGGAGTGCTGGAGGTTGCTCGCTCCGAGAGGATGAAGCAGTTTCTGACGCCAAAGATGACCTCTGAGAGGAGCCAGCCTTGGAGAGGTCGTCAGCACCACCTTCGCTCCCGGAGTCACGGCCACTCATGGACCGCCGCCGAGGTGGTTTTAGCGAATGCTCATCACTCTCGCCCTCCGGGACCCGACCCAAGCGAGCCAGTCCCTTGCCAGCGCGCCCAGACCGGTCTGTCCTCACGGTCTGTATCATTGAAGCGTGTGAGGGCCCACTCCACTTGCCCTGGGATCCCTCGGACGCCGTCGGAGAGGACACCAGGCTTGACTGGCTGCTCGCAGAACTGAGATCACTGAGAGACGCACCGCCTGAGCTTTTCCCGGCGTGTCTCTCGTAGAACGACATGACCGCCTGTTTCTGTATGCTCTTGAGGGTGGCGTCCGATACCTTGAGTTTCTTCTCCGGGTCCAGATACGAGTACGAAACGTTGCTGCTCGTTCTCTCAGGCCGTTCCAATACGCGATCTCCTCGGTCACTACGGTCAACTTCTGTGAAGGTATTGAGGAGATTCTGGAAGTTTTCATGGCCAAAAGGTCTTCCGTCTGCGTCCTTCTGTGTAGGTGACCGTGAAGCCGAGGGCCCCAAGGTGGAGGGAGAACGAAGGGTGTCACCATTTTCACATTTTTGTTCTGTTCGTGAGAATTCAAGCCGCATGTCTCCTCGCTGCGAGTCCCGAGAGCCACGTCGCTGATGGCCCCTCGTCTCGCTAGGCTCCCTGTGTTCTCTACTAAGGTCCCTGTTATCGCGATGTTCCCTGGGATCTCGCGGCTCTTTCGAAGGTCGAGATTCCACCGTATCACAAGTCTCCCGTGTGTCCTGTGATGTGGAATCTTCGCGTGGCCTCTTGGTCTCGCGGAGATCTCTGGAATCCCCTCTCTCCCTGGAGCCACTCTGGTCCCGGGGCCAGCGTGACGACGTCCCCTCCGGGGCGGTACTTCTTGACTGGCGCTCCAACTCGTGAATGCGCTCAGCCACGGACGGCGGTTTACTAATGTCTATGGTGGGACTCTGAGGCGAGCGAGTGGGCGAGCGAGGCGTTTCCCGCATCTCTGCCGTGGGGGCCTCTGTAATCTGCGACAATGGCTGCGTGTACGAGTAGGATGGGAATTTCTTCAGGTTGTTCATCTCATTGTTTCTCTCTACTTCTCGACTCCACTTCCCTTCGCGCGAGGGCCGAGGGTAGCCGGATTCTGTGTCTCTGATGGATCTTCGGAGATCGCGATGGTCTCGGGACTCATGGCCGAGTCTCCCGTGAGGCGGCTTTCCCCTCCCGTCGACGCCGTAGTACAGGACCGACTCGCTGTTATGCCGTTGTGGGGCTTGGACTCGCGAGCTGTGAACGATGTTGTGGTCGCCGCGAGGGTCTCGGGAGTGACCCGACATGATGGAAATATCAGAGAGGGAGCCATGCCATTTTAGTGTTTCTGACGATGACGCAGACGAAGAGTTCGTGACAACTGTAGTGACACTTTCTCGGCCATTACTATAACGGGCACTGTCTGCCACACTCTCACTCTCTCCGCGGCCGGAGTCCCGCTCAGAGCTGCCGTCCCATGTCACCGACTCCCGGCGGAGTTGGTCTAGCAGCGGCGTCGTACCCATCAAGTCGGTGTAGCCGAACTCTTCGTAACGGCGAGCGTACTCTTCGAACTGCGCTGCTGTGACTTGGCCCAGTGTGGCCTCGCCCATGGGACCGAGATCTCGCTCCGGGGGCGACGGGATGCTGTAATCCTTGTCATCTAAGGGCCGACCGTCACGGTCGTACAGTGGGTAGTAGGCACTGGAAGGCTTATAGTAGGAATCCATGAAGGAATAATTTGAGCTGGAAAACATGTCTTCCCGGAGGTTGTTATGCAGCGCCTCCTTGGGAAGCTTCTCCGTTCGTTCCATCACAGTCTTGAGCTGCCTCTGGAAGGACGGATTGAAAGGCTTCTTGTTATACGGGCGGGCGTAGCCCCCTGACTTCTCCTTCGGGTATTCCGACTGCTCCGTCCATGACTTGGAGCGATGGGAGCCCTGCGGCGCCGGAGAGAGGGACGACTCGGGCAGGCCAGACACGTTGGCGTCATGGGCGGGGGGCCCCGGCGGCATGACTTGGTTGGCAGCGGCGGCGGGCACGGGCCAGGACGGGTACTTCTCGTGGCCGGGGCCGTACTTGATGTACTTGAGACTAGAGGCGTCGCGCACCGGAGGCGGCGGAGGTGACGAGGGGTGCCGCCCTGTGGACAAAGGGGCGTTTGATGTGGGGGAATGCCGCACCGACGTCTGTGGCGGCGGCGGCGCGGATGTGGGCGGAATGGGTGAAATGGGTGACGAGTGCTGAAAGCCCGGCCCGGGCGGGGAGTAAGGAGGCGGGGCGAGGGTCAGATCGGGCTCTGACATGTTCCATGACCCATGGTACTTGTGGGACGCGGACTCCGGGCCCAGGTTGTCGTAGGAGAAGAACCTGGCCCGATCCATGCCATGGTGGTGGGCATGGTGGGTGTGCCCGGGTCCCAGGTCAGCACGAGGACTCAGGTCATCGGACTCGCTGTAGTTGGATGTGTTGGAGTGCTGTCGACTGTGGTAGGAGCCCGCCGAGCCCGAACTGAGGGCGGACAGCTGGCGGGAGTGCAGGAGCTGGTACGAGGAAGACCGGAGGTGGTGAGCGTAGTCTTCACGGTCTGGAGTGTCATCGGCGCCCATTGTTACGTCCCAATATCGGCCGCCCACGACTCCAGAGCCGCCCATGCCGCCCTTACTGGAGGATGAGGATGTGCCGTGAAGGTACGAGTACATGGAGGACTTCTTGGTCACCATACTGCTGCCATCCTCGGCATCGTCAAGGTTA